CCCCCCCCCCCCCCCCTTCTCCAAAAAGGGGTTTCCACCTGGGAGGTGAGGAACAAGGAGACTTCCCATTCCCTTTCCCGGGGGCTCCAGAAGAGAAACCCTTTCCGGCCCCCCAGCCTTCCCCCATTGGTGGAAACCCTCCAAGGGGGGGCCGCCCCCACCCGGGGGCCCCCCCCCCCCGGGGGGGGCCCCCCCCCCCCCCCCCCATCACCAACTTATCCCTCCAGTCAGGTGTTCAGGTTGTCGTCGTGGTGCCGCCCTGACCTCTAGTGGACGTTTGCAGCCGCTGCAGCACACGAGGAGCCACGAGCAGCTGCAGGCGGTTCAGCTCCCGGTTTGAAAAGTTGTTTTGTCGCTGAGATTAACGGGGATTCGTTTCGTTTCGAGTTGCGCTTAAGTGACGGATGGAAGCGCGACTTCGAAATGACTCGTTTTGTGAGTCTGGCGTCTCCCGCCGCTGCCTCGCTGGCAGCGGCCTCGCTGACTTTCCGTTTCCGTGGCGATGAGACGTTCGTTCACGCGGTTCTCCCTCGCAGGTCACCAGAGGAGACGATCGGGCAGCAGAGAGCGCAGAGTCACCGTCGCCACGCCGGCGTCCGCCCCCGCCCCCGTCGCCCGGCAACAGAGCTTCACGGATCTGTCCACGGTGCGTTCTAACCGAGTGCTTTCTGGTTATGATCGCGGCAACATTTTAAACATTTTCTCATGTCTTTGTTTTCCAGAACATTTCATAGAATTTGTATTTACTATTTTCTATTATTATTCTTTGCTTCGAGGGTTTCGTATTTGTTTCCTGACCTTTTGGGTCCTTTGTTTGGGTCACATTACAGCAGCAGTTCACACTTAAACACGTGATGTTTTTCATCTGAGCTAAAAGTCTATAAACACTTTACAAGGAGTTTGTCCCACTTAAAAGTCATTTTTGTCCTCAAACATTCTCCCCAATTCTGACGTTTAGTCTGTTTTCCTCCCCGAGTCTTTTTTAATCCTATTCATACTCGTGATTTGAAGGCGACGCCTGAGTGCAGCTGAGACTTTTATCTAAAGTTTCCGTTCTTTTGTCTTCTGAGCCGCCGAGAAGCTCGTTAGCACGGACACGGGTAACCGGGAGACGTGTGACTCATGACCTCCACCTCCTGCTCATCACTCCAGTCGCATGATCATGTCAAACAGGCCCCGCACGCTCACCCCCGTGTGTGTGTAATTGTATGTGTGTTAATGTAAAACTCATGTCATTGATTTTTGTCCTATTTTTGTGTTTTGCCC